TTTTTTTTTTTTTTGGGGGGGGGGGGGAGATAAGTAGCCCACTCAAAAGTTACTACAAACTTCTCATTCCAAATCAATTAAAAATTACAAAACCCAGCAATCTTCTGTTTCGACCTATTCGAATCTGCAACAAGAACCCCCTAAGGAACCTAAAAAGAAGAATGTCCCTGAAGAGAGAGGACTAGGATTTCGAACAGAGAGGTCAAACTGTTATCATTCTATCAATGAGCTAATTTCAATCAGTCACCACACATCCACAGCTGTATACAAGAGCCTCTCTTTGAGTTCATTAGTTACGGTAATTTCAAAACTAACTGAAGTTCCCGTCTTTCCCCACACACAACTCACATGCCATTTTCTCTTAGCTTCCTCCACGGGCCTTCCTCTTCCATCTAAATCTACACAACTACTTTTCAAGCCTCCTTCTCCGATGAGGCTGTTGCCCTTTCCCACCATATCAGATGAGATCAAATATACAGATTTTTGCGGTGTTTATTATGTATTTTCCAATCAAGTATGAAAGATAGTGGTGCAAGCTCTAAACTCATTTGTTAGTTGTTCGACAAGTTGAATGAAAATTGGCAATTGCATCAATCACATTCACTATATGGTACTACGTAATAAAGATATTGGATCACTGAAACAAGAGATAGCAGGACATACCACTGTTTGACTTTTTGCTAGAAGCTTTTCACATATTCCAGGATAATTCCGAGGTTTCCACCCATGTTCTCCTTGGTACTGAAATCAAAACTTGTTGAGTTGGCTTTCAAAGTCAAACTAACAGGATAGATGCGATGAGACATGGATAGAGGTTTTGTTACTAAGATGATCATCAACAGCAGCCAGTAAGAAATAGAAAAATACGAGATAAAAACCACCAAAAGAAGAAGAAGACAGTATATCCCATGAGAAGTTAAACCTGTGAAATCATTCCAATGACAACAAGTCGTCCATAGACAGCCAATGCATTCAAGCAGATGTCAAACATCTCACCACCAACGGACTCATAGACAATATCAACACCTTTAGGGAACTCCTTCTTTAAGACCTGGTGCAGCCATATATATACAGAACTAGTTAGAAAAGTAGCTCCAGCTGAAACTAATATATCATGGTCACCCAGAAAATCAGACTAGAGCAAACATCTAAGAACTTGTTACAAAAAGGAAGCATAAGCAACATAAAAACAGAGTAGCCACTCTGGAATTAGACAACCAAGCTAATACTCATGTTTTGCTGCTAATATATCTCCATGGAAATGGTCAACTTGCACACCTCCACCCTCTACAATGTTCAAAATTCTTTGTGGACAACCTAATATGGAGGCCCAACATTAGGACACACCATAACATGAATGGGCCGGACTCTGACACTATGTGAAGAGATGGACCTTGAGCTTAACTCAACCCCAAAAACTAGCTCATGAGATGAGGATGGCCCAAGACCATATAAGGAGACAAACAACCCATCCATCTACCAATATGGGACACTTAACACTTTGCACCAGTGANGTCCTTTAATTGGAAAAAACTCCCCCTGCGCCCCTGCGGGCGCGGAAAAAGGAGGTGTGACAATGACAACATCAATTGATCAATCAATCAACCACGCCTCAATCTCATAATAATTGGGGTTGTCTACACGAATTGTTATATATATTTCGCTCTATTCAGGTCCATTTCACTCAGCTACGACATAGTTTATCTCTTAAGGCAAATTAGTGGTTCTAGAAACCTAAAGGTTCTCGAAAGGCCCCCATTTTGGAACTCTTTCCCCATAAAAAGTTTGATATTTATAAGAACTACCCTCGAGAGCATGATTTTCCACAAAGCATTCTGAGGTATCTATTCATAATGCATTGCAATAACATTTGAATGACAACTAATAATATGATGTTTATCCAAGACAGCAGCGTACAAGTTATAAGAACATCGTTAGCCAGTGAGTTTAAGAAACTTAACAGCTTTTATGTTTTCTACTTTGTAGTCAATGACCCGATCAACTCCCAAATCCTTAAGAAGCTTGGCCTTTTCAGTGCCTCCACAAGTTGCAACCACCGTGTTTCCAGATAATTTTGCAAGCTTCCATAGCAAATAGTTCAGTATGTGTTAGTTAGCTAATCAACATGATAATGAGAAAAATAGTGTATTACAATATAAAATGATACAAGAAGCAGGAAGAGAAGATATGACATGAATTCGCCTATACTGAAGGAGAAGATATGACATGAATTTGCCTATACAGAAAGAGAAGATATGACATGAATGCACCTATAGAGACACACTTCCAGATGGAAAAACACTTCAAATGTGGAAAGGAAGAATGTGAAAAGAAAAGCTGCACAACGACTAGTAAAAATAATCTAGTATGTAAGAAGCATTTTGAAAATTACGAATTCTTGTAAGTTTTTTTTTCTTTGATAAGGTAAAAGTTTCATTAATAAGGTACCAAGATGGTACAAAAAGTTACACGAATTCTTGTAAGTTCTTGTACATAATTTACTGTAAACTTCCACCGCAGTTTCCCCTTTCAAAAGGAAAAGGCAGAAACCCAAAAAACTTGCACAATAACTTTTGATATTCACTGCAAATTATTAGATGGGATCAAAGAAATCTTAGGCAGGTCTATAACCACTTATCTGTTCGCCTATTTACTTGATAGACACTTTTATTATCTTGTATATGTAGTAGACAAGCAGTCTTAACCTAACTACTCTTGCAGGTTTCTTTTTCTTTTAAGCTATACCTGCACTGCAAATTGCCCTGTCCCTCCTGCAGCAGCAGTCACCAAAACAACTTTTCCTGATTCCATTTGAGCAGCCTACAGATTCAACAGTAAATAATATAATTCAAAAGGCAATATGAACTAAAACCTGTTTAAATCAACCCCAACTGTCATAAAATAGTATACACGTTGTATGTTCCTTCCCCTGCAGCAACAGAAACCGGGTAAAAAGATTCTTCAAGGAATAAAAGAACGCTTATACTAACCTTTTCCAAAGCAATTGATGCAGTGAGTCCAGAGGTAAGCATTGCAAGAACTTCTGGATCTGGTTTTGCTACAGGAAGGATGTGTTTGGCAGGGACCTGAATATAGAATCCAAATTGCATAAAACTCACCAAGGACAATGAAAGATTAGACAACTCAAACCTGACAAGAATAAATGTGTAAAGCAGTAGTTACCATGACAAATTCAGCATAACCGCCAAAAGTCATGATGGCAGCAGGCATACCAATCTTCAAATTTCTAACAGCATCACCAATTGCAGCAATTATTCCCACAGCCTGCAGTAAACGAGGCTTAAATTTGAGGTAAGCAAATTCAGGAATTAAAAAAACTACAATGAAGAAAGCAAGGCAATACTCCAGTTTAAGTAACAAAATCGTGATCAAAACAGAAAACTGACTTTCAAAACATATTCCATAAAACATTCAGAAACCAATTCAATCCTCCAGCATCACGACTAGTACAAGCGAATAGAACTGTAATTAACCATCATGTGGCAAAATGAAACCTAAGAGGGTAGCAATAACATAACATGACCAAAAATTACATTAAAAGGAGCTTCTTATATAAAGTGGCCTTGGGATCGTATTGTTTACCAAACTTGCAACTGAAGGCGGACCAAATTATAAACCATTCTGTTCTATAAGCCCCAACTCAATTAAAGCCCTACCATGTCTAGATCTAAAATAAGCACTGAGAAGAGCTAACTGATTAGTGCACAACCCTGCCCGTGTCTCATTAGTAGTTGCAGCTGTGGTTAGGTCTTTCGCTCTCATCTCTCTGGATTCCGATCAGTGATTTTTATGTATGACATTTTTGAAATCATCAATTTTTGCAGAAAAAAATAAAAAGATGGAAGATTACAGCAGATGTATGGTTTTCCTATGCGGGTTTCTCCAAAATCTCTCTCCCCCTCTCTGACTCTCTCTATAGATATGTACACATATATATACACATACACATAATATATATTCTTTTTTCTCTTATAGAAAAGTAATTTCAAAGAACCAACCCAAATAATATAGAAAGTTCTTTTTGTACCTCAAAACCAGAATCCAGCGGAAGGCGGGAGGCGATGTCATTGCCATCTCCACTGAAATAACGCCCTGAGCTGAAGTTGACCTATTGCAAAATGCTTCCATCAGTAAAGAACTTAACCATGTCTGTGTATGTTGGGTGGGGGAATTAGCGGGGGGGCATGCAAAATGCTTTTGTCAGTGAAGAACTTAAAACCAGAATTATGTGGCGGACATGTACATCATAAGCATTGCCCCAGAAGACCCTAATATGATCATTTAATTACAAATGTACATCATTATGCCAAAAACCAAGGAAATAAAAAAGGTACAAAGTTTTCTCTTGATTTATAGAGATGTTGTATTTTACAGTGACAAAAACATACAAATACCAGTATGCACAGACTGCATGAGGGCAGGGAAAGCACAGATCTACTCAATTATTCAGTCTGATGTCAATAAAGCTGAGATTCTTTACTGCAGAAATGGAGAAAAAAGAAAAACTCACATCACTAGCATTCACACCAGCATAGATGACTTTTAATAGAACGTGATCTGGTTTGAGTGGCAACCTCAATGCAGTTCGCACAATTCTTGTAGCACTACGAAAATTGTGACTCAACGTGTGAACAACTCTGGAACAAAAATCAGATGCAGAAAGTGTCAAAAGTCACAAGAAATAATGAGGGAGACTCCACATAATTGTTTAGGATAAGGTATCCCAGCAGAACACTAAGAAACAACAACAACGACAACAACAACAAAAGGTAACCAAGAAGGTAACCCAAAAAAAAAGCAACTAAAGCAAATAAAGAAAGGGGAAACTAGTGGCAGTCACCTACGGCATATTTCAAAGAGAGCTTGAGGTTGAACAAAGGTAGGGTTAAGGTCTGCGTATACACTACCCTCCCCAGACCCCACTTGTGGGATTTCACTAGGTATGTTATTGGCATTGTTGTTGTTGAGGTTGAACAATGAGAATGGGGTTTATTTTTGTGACCGAGTTGACTTAGAATTGACTTTTTGAGTTGAATTTGACTTTGACCGAGACTTAAAATATAGATTCTCTTTATCTTTCTCTTTTTGTTTTTTTCTTCTCGCTTCCCTCAGTTGCAGGAGACATTGTAGAATGGAACTGTGATAACATGTGCATTTGAAATTTCACATGTCCACAACAAGAGAAATAATCAATCCGAAATGTGCTCTTTCCTAAGTAAAAGAAGTAAATTACACAATTACATACACTTTTTCAAAGCTTTGAGGAATCTGAAAATCCATTGGTACCGTAACCAAAGATTTTCGAAGTGCTTTTGAAGAGGGGAGGCGGTATTTTGCTTCTTCTGCAGGAGTTGGCCAATACTCCATGCCTCTTCTGTTAGTGATCCATAGACATGACCCTGCTTTACTCTCATCTCTGATTAGTTCAAAAGCACCTGAAAAAAGTAGGTACTTCAGACTAGAATCGGAAACTACATTTTGAGGCTCTATGTTCTTGAAGGAAAATCTGTCCCTTGTTGATATATTGCTGTCTTGGATGGTATATTTTTCCCTTAGCCATTGAAAGTAAATAAAATTTGCTGATGAAAATGCTAAATAGCACATAGGCTTCAAAAATGTCTATTGACAAATTGGATTGGCTGAGAGCGGATAAGGTAAGATAATTATCTATCTTGAACACGTGATTACCATATCACAGGAAGATAGAGGAGAACAGAAGGATATCATTCAATCCTATGTCGCTATAAGCACCAAATAGAAGACACGATAGCAGAAATTTATTCTATGCCTCATTTGAAAATGCAGCTAACTAGTCCAAATCATAAATATGGCCAAATAAACGTAGCAGTTGGTATTGTCAAAAGGACATCCCGGTGCACAAGGCATTTTGCGTTCACGCAGGGTTTGGCTCAAGGGGTGTGATGTAGACAGTCTACCCTAATGCAAGCATTAGTTGCTGCTTCCACGGCTCGAACCCATGACCAATAGGTCACACAAGTTCTGAGGCAAATAATGAGGAAAATAATTGAAGTACCTTTCACCACAAGTTCCATAGGCAGATATCCTCCAAGTTGATCAATATGTGGAGAACTAACCTTTGTCGCCAAGTCAGTTTGGACAAACTGCGTATGACAAGTAAAATAGTAAAGTCTTGTCTAAGTTTAACACAAATAACGGATGATATTATGTGCTCTTCTTAGCATCAACAATATTATTTTTTAGAAAAGGTAAATATTTTCTTAGTGGGCGTTTGGGCATAAGAATTGTAAAATTCCGGAAAAAAGTGATTTTTTTTTAAAGTGAAAATGGTATTTAAAAATTAGAGTTGTGTTTAGACATGAATAAAATTTGGAGCTATTTTTGAAGTTTTGTGAGTGACTTGAAGTGAATATTGAAAAACAGCTTTTTGGAGTTTTTCAAATTTCCGAAAAATTCTAAAATTCAACTTCAAGTGAAATTTGAAATTTTCAAGGACAAACATTGATTCTGAAAAGGCTGCGTACACACTACCCTCCCCAGACCCCATTATGTGGGATTATTGTTGTATTATTTTTCGTATCTTTTCACATATATATTTTTAGTCTGATTCAAAACTACTGGGTTCAGTTGAACCTAGTAAATTATGCTGCATCTGCCTCTGAGCAAAACAATGGCTTGAGAGATGTTGATACTAAAGCTTTTAGGCCATTTAAAAGGCAGTGATAAAATAGGGGTAGCAGATAACAAATACGGGCCATATCTGAGACTCATTAAAATCTCTCGGGGGGAGAAAGAGTCACTTTCTTTCCGTCAACCTTCTATGAAAGAACAGATTACCTCAGGGCAGAGCACATTGATGCGGATTCCTTGGCGCTTAAACGGAGCAAGCGATCTTGTAAACATGACAACACCTCCTATAACAAAATATGCTCTCATTATACCCAAAGGTTTGCAAAGATAAATAAATATGTGCTTCATGTACTGGACCATCAGAAAATAAGAGAAGAAAATAGAAATAAATCGAGAAGACAGGAAGTCAAGAGCACATTTAAAACCAAAAACGAAAAGAAAAAAAAGAAAAAGAAAGGAGGCTGTTGTAAATGATATGGACTAGAACCAAACATCTAACCTTTGGAGGCAGAATAGATAGGGCCTATATACATTGGATAGAGTCCGGAAGCAGAACCCAAATTTACAATTACACCTGGCTTTTGGGCAGCTTGCATGGCTTGAATCTGCATAATATGTGTTTATGATTATCTGACCATGATAGCAAGAAAGAGTTACAATAATATGGAGAACAGTACAAAACAGACTTGGAATGCAAATAAAAGGTGATCTGAATAGCTAATGCATTTCATCATAAACTAAAGGGCAGCCCAACGCACAAAGCATCCCGCATTCATGCAGGGTCCGGGGAAGGGCCGCACCCCAAGGGGGCTAAAATCTACAAATAGAAGCAAGAAGATTATATGTAACTTCACACCAACAAAGTAAGTTGTACATATGACACATCCGGATTTAAAGAGGCTGATTATGAAGTAATATCACTAGAGACTGTAAATGGACTTTCCGCTAATGAGAATGCGGAGTTAAGAGCTTTCAGACGCAAAGCAAAATAAAAACATTATATCACAACTAAAGAGTATATCGCATGGCCAAAGGTTTGGGCATCAGGTTCAATTATGCTAATATGTATATGACAAGGATACTGTACTTAAAGGAATCACACTCGTACCGCGTCTTCAGCATTTGAATCAGGCATGTCAAATGGAGGATGAAGATATATAGTGTAACAGAGAATTGTAAGATCTAGTAGTAATATTCCTCCACTAAGGTAACCGTACGACATCCATGCAACAGTCAAATCAAACAATCAATCTCACTAATGCTTAATCCCAAATTAGTAGGAATCAACAATATGAATCATCTACATAAATTATGCTCTATTATGGAAATCATTCCATTGCTAAATAATTTATCTTTTATGGCAAATCAGGGATTACCTAAAGTTAGAGATTCTTTAAATCTCAAACTTATCCCTACACAGACATACAAGTCATTAACCGGAATAAAAATATTCTTGACAAACATTGATCTAGTGTGAATGTAACAGCAACAACTAAACCCTAACTAGCTGGTATCACCTGTATGGATCCTTCACTTCCAGCATGTTCTGTTCTTAGTTAAGTTCGCATTGATTCTGAAAGGTTATGTCTTTTGGGCTAAACTTAGGTCTATCTTATCCTCTTTTTCACCTTTAATAGTCATATTGTCACACATAAAAACCAGTGCATATGGAGGTTAATGCAACGGTATTTAACAAATGTTAACTATCCAGACTAGCTAAATTATTCCATAGCTTGAATACCAATAGTAAATCTATGCAAACACCTAATAGAGAATAGATTTTAGTCTAGCACAAGTAAAAATATCAGCCTTATAATTTTGAGAGTACAACCGTCTATGTATCTCCAGAAGTTGGGATATGCAGAAGAATATTGATAAATGAAGAAATTTTTCTTGGTTCTAATGAAGCTTCGTAATAGCTGTAGCATGGTAAACATTAATATCCATCAACTTGAGCAACCATAAAACAGTGAGTTGGAATTTACCGCAAGACGAGTGCTATCTATAACTGCAATGAGGTTCACATTAACTGTGTGTCTCCAGCTTTTAGACCCATCAGTTCGATCATTACGGAATGGAATAATATCGCCAATCCCTGCACTGTTAATACAGATATCTAGTCCTCCATATGTTACAAAATGCTTCTCGAAAGCAGCTTTTAGTTCTCCTGCGCAGATGATGAAGACGCTATTACTTATTGTAGAGAGTTTTTTATTTTGCGGAAGACTCACGTGATTAAAATTATACATCAAAAGAATTCCACATATAATGTTTGTGTGTGTGTGCTTACTTTGCAAAAGACTTACAAACAAACAACAACTACACCTTAATAACAAATAAGTTGGCAGCGGCTATATGAATCCTCACTGACCATGTCGTTCCATTTTGCAGAAAACATACATGATAAAGATTATGCATCAATAGACTTCTACAAGAAAATACACACAAACAAGCACATATATTCAAGCATGAAAATCAGTTCACGAATCAAATAAATGGGAGGATTCTAATTCTTAAGGCTTTCTTTTGAGTCTTGAGACTCTTGATTAAAATTTGCGATCCTGAAAATTAGCATTCCTTTCTTTTAAGGAACAGAATGATGGTAAGCCGTCACTTGAATGCATCAAAATATAATGGGTACTAAAACAACCATAGCCACTTCTTTTCTAGGACCTGTTCTAAATCTTAGTTCTATCAACGGTACCACACCCCTTCAAAGAATAAGGATAACATCTTCTTAGTTTTATGGGTAAAAGAAGGACAGCATCCTACGCCAGCTCAAATGTTTCAAGAAAAGCAATTCTCAGCAATGACCATCAGAGGTTAGCTTATATTACAGATGGGATGTTTCAAAATCAGGGAGGTTTTTGGATGCTATTATGGTGTAAAACTTCTAGATGTGATCTGACCCTGAAATTCCTTTTTCTCTCAGAACCTAAACATCAGTGTAATATAGTGTACCCACTAACTTGTACGACAATTTCTTGTACTGAAACCCATGAAATTTGGCAGCTCTAAGATGTGCCCTCATGGTTTTATAGGTCTTCATTGCACAAGCAAGAAGTAAAGACTTGTCTTTTTAAACTCCTTGTCCAATTAGAAACAGTACTCACTCAAGCAGATGTAACACTCAAGCAGTACTCACTCAAGCTATCCATAGACGTAACATCTATGGATAGCCATTTCCAAGCTTCTCAAAGAACGTATCAGCGATATGGATAGCCAGAGCTAAACTAAAACCTATGGGAAAACTTGGATTCCACGACCCAGTTGCACTTTTTTAAAAAGGTTACTGTAGCAGGTATCAATCTACTGTATCTCTAGCTCAGATTTATGCACATAACTCAACAAACATTGGTTGTTGCTTTGTTACTTGTACTCAAATTGACAAGAATGCACCACAGTTGCTAGATCAAATTGATACTAATTGATGAAATATAGCACTAACTATTGATAATACCATCTGACTCAATAAAGTTTACTAGCATTGAGACTCTAGGGTTTCTCTCTTCGAACTCTCCTATCTCAGTCATGATCCTTCCCTTCCCCTCTGACAAAATGCAAATTAACTCGTTTCCCACATAATTGCATGTAAGTGCATTCTAATGGTGTTAATAAGTAAGTAGAGGGAGCTATGGATAAAAACACCCAGCAAGATCGTTCTAAAGACAAGGGGCCCTAAGAAATGCAGAAAGAAAAACTGCAACCTATTTAAACCACCTAAAGGCTTGACCCTCTTGAGTTTTGAGGATGTCTTCTGACACATCCCCTCCCCCAAAACCGGAATGCTAAATTCTTTAAACAATACAATTGCATTCTATTTACAAGAGCATTTATATATGAATATGTTAGACAGTGAATAGAAGTTTCAATAACTTGGCCAAATGACCCAAGGGCGGATGTACTCTTGGCGAAGCGGTGTCACACGACACCGCTTCGTCGAATTTTTTTTTCTAAATATATGTATTAATACTGTGAGGAAACGGATAAGTAGGAATAATTGACACCACTTGACATAAATTGTCTCTTGGTGCATCGGTTATGTGCTTGATTTTGCTCTAAGAGGTGTATGGTTAACAATTGTGATAAATTAGAATTGAACCCATGACCTTTTCTAACTTGAAACTCAAGAAACCAATAAACTACGAATATTTCTGTACTTCTATAAATTTTGACACCGCTTGCAAAAATTCCCGCGTACGCCCTTGGACCCATGCTACACAGAAGTTCCGTTTTCAAACATGCATAGACACTAACTGCAGCACAAGAAGTCAGGGACTTCATAACCATGTCCCTAGCATGTACAATTTTAGTGTACCACACCTAAATACACATATTGCTGTACCACCAGGAGGGTGGAAGGTAGAATGCTTGCAGAGTCCAATCGTAACCAAGCCGGTGCATGTACAACATTTCAAAGTGAAAAAACAAGGGGAACCTCAAACTAAAGGAATAATCTGAATAGCGCAATTGCTTTTATCACTTCTCATTCCCACCTTTAAGATTCATTTTGACACAAAATACATAAACATGTTACATGCCTGCATTAGTGACATCACATCTGATGAACATAACAAGTGGAAATTCCAGTCCAAAATGGAATTTGGCGCACTCTTTCTCAGCAAGGGCTGCAACTTCTTTGCCTTTCTCTTCTGAGAAATCAACAATTGTAACAAAAACTCCCTTCTGGGCAAGAGCCAAGCTAAGTGCTCTACCTGCACGTATTAGCATACAGAAATAATATTAGCATTTAAATTCTCGCTTCACAGCTGTTATAATCTTAAAAAGGCACTTTCTCCGCACATCATAGAAAGGAACATTTAGCTGCCTAACCCGAATGTTACACTTAAAGGAGCTCTATAAGCAAGCATAAAACAAAACAAAAAAAGGTGCTTATCAGATTCAGAAAAACCAAAATTGACATTCCTATTAAACTAGAGCTTGTGAAACTGAATAAAACCATAACTGGCGACCTAATAATCTAGAGCATCCATCTTGATAATTTAATTTCAATTGCTTGATTAATCATCTAAGTACTAGATGAGCAATTAACCACCATGTTCACTAGTTCATTCATACATATTCACAAATCACACACACACACACACATATATATATAAATTTCAGGATTGATACAAAGTTGATTAAACCAATGATCGTACAATAGTAGACCAAGTGCAAATGCTCCTAGACAGTGTTACACACCTATCCAACCCATTGAAACAAGCTCAATTTACAATTACCACGGTTTAACATTGAGTTCCAAGTAATACGAATCATTATTTGAAATATAATCCAAGTAATACACACCAATAGCGTGAAACTTCTAGTCTTCTACCCTATATAGCTATCTCAAATCATTAAATTAACACGCCAATGAAGTGGTTCCTTCTGTATCTAATGCATCTGTGAATAATATTTTACCTTGCCAATTGCCACTTATCGTGTATACTTAGTTCCAAGCTAAAAAGAGTAGTAATACTGTAATACAAAGTAAAATAGCAGATATACAGAAGAGTTATGACGAATTGAAGTTAAAAATAAATAAATACCAATTCCGGAGGCACCGCCGGTGATCAAAGCTGATAGACCTGGCTTGAGCTCCATGCTTATCGACGTCTATGGCTTGATCAACTGGTCAGTGTGAACAGAGAAGAGAAGACGGAAGTGTGAGACGACAAGTTTAGTCCGTTCAATTTCAGATTTACGTGAAATCACATTTATAAGTCAGCGTTGGTGGGCTTCCCAATGTGGTAGCTCATCTTTTTCGATGGAACCAAATAGTATTTTTTATTCGATATTCTATCACAAAATATATATATATATTTTTTGACTTTTACTTGGCCGGCTGTTGTGATGAAGATGAACATTCTGTCTTTGTCGGACTTCTTAACAGTACAACAATTTATAACTTTTATCCAAAGCACTATAAAAATCTTTCAATGCGATAAATATTTAGAAATGTAAGTTTTAATTTTAAATTAAATTAACATATACATTCACGTGGAAAAAAGGATCTCTACTGAATTTGTGATTTTATGCTAACTAATTTTTTTTGCAGTGTATACCAAGTCATAGTACACCGTTTTGTAAAATAATATCAATATTATTAAAATAAAGTATTTAGCAAATAATTAAACATAAAAATATAAAATACATGTTCTTGTGAATGGTTAATGTAGGTCATCGTATGATAACTTGTTTATGAATGTCAAGATGATTGGATATATCATATGAAAGATGATATTCCTTTTGTGTATTCCTTTCATTAGTTTAGATTGTTCATAGAATATTGTGTCAACTTTCAAAAAAATGAAGTGTAAAAGTATTATATGGATTGTTTATGTGAGTTCAATTTAAGGAGCAAAGTGAAGCTTTATACAAAATAGTACTAATAGTTTATAATAAGTTAAATTGATTTAGTGTGATATTTTTTCATTTCATTCGTTAAAGAGATTAACTTTCCAGTATCGTGTAGGTATGACGATTCTTTTTCTTTATTGGTTCAAGTCATGCAATTTAATCTCATGCCTCATTTGATGCTCCCGATGAATCTCATGTCAAGACGAGTATTCTTTTGAATTAGTTTAAAAATAAATTATTTGTAAAGAGAAAATAATTAAGTAGCTTATTGACAAATTTAAAAAATAAAAATTTCAAGGAATGGAATGAAAGTTTATTTTAAAATATTATGACAACATAGGAGGTAGAGAAAGGAAAACGGAAAAAAGGAATTACAAAGTGAGAAATCAAATAATCCTTATCGAAATAAAATAAAAATTTAATAGAGTATAGCTCATATCCAAAATATCATTTGGGGAAGGAGACAACGTCCTTGAAGATCCGCCAGAGAAAGAAGATTACAAATAATTTATTCTATAACTATATGATTCTTTTCTTTTATTTTAGAAAATTTATTATTAGGTTCATTGTATTAAATAAGATGATAATTGAAATTTCGCTAAAGAAAAATGACTAATGTACTTTAACAAGATATTTCACAAGTTTGATGATTAATATTTTTTGAAGCTTTACTAGTACTCCTAATTAAAAAGAATAATCTTTAGCACAAAAATTTAATGTGAATCACGAGATAAACGAGAGCTTGAGAAAAATTCCCTTGCCATTAACAAAGATTGATTTTAAAACATTTTCCAGCGAGGGACCGATTTAACTCGTCACAGATTTCCAAGTTATATGAATAGAATAAAGCAATTATTTGCCTACTTGCGTGAGGAATGAACTTTACACAAATCTTCACGGCAAAGGTCAAGGTACCTAATCATAATCAGTAGGTACAAACACCCTTAGCATGTCCATACTCGTTAGAGTTGGATTAGGATTATATTAATTTACCGTTAACAATAAAACAACAAAATAACCCAAATTAAAATATTTGAAGGGCAAAATCACACGAAATTATAGCCTAAACACGACTCTCCAAGTTGTCCTTCATATCCCTTTCTTTTGACTGCTCTTTTTAATTCTCTAAACCCCAAATTTGATCCCAATTTGATTCTTAGACTTGGATGGAGTCAGATTCTGTTAAATTGGAAACCCTAAGAATTTTCTGGTTCTGAAGTGAAATTGAAGTGCAAAAATGTTTCCGTGGAATTTCGCGAGGTCTGCGGAGACTTTGTTCTCGCGATGGGCGATCAAGAGGGTTTGCAAGTTTTTATTGAAGAAGAAATTGGGCAAATTCATACTAGGCGATATCGATCTCAATCAGCTCGATGTTCAGCTCAGTGCTGGTACAATTCAGCTCTCTGATCTAGCTCTCAATGTTGATTATCTCAATCAAAAGGTGCGCGCTTGTGCTTTTTTTTTTCTTTCTGTTTTTGCAAATTCCAGAGGATATGAATTTGAATTTGATAGTAGAAGTAGTACAATTTTAATGATTTTCGTTTATTTTGATCTCTATTTATAGGATAAAGTTTAATTCTTTCTGTAGTTTTGTGAGTTATGTTCATTGAGTTGTAGGTTCATATAATCCTTTTAACTTTGGAGCTAGGTAGTTAGTTTATCTAGTTGCTATCGGGATTTTAATCTGGAAGGCTGGGAATTCTGGTGTGGTAATGCTTTTTAGAAGTGGAATTTGTTTTCCTCATTGTTGGATGAGCTACATTTGAACTTTAGCTTCCATGGCCAACTATGCTAAATCCCGAGTTAGTTGTGATCAGCTATATGAATTCTCTAGGTCTATTTCACTCTATTCAAGTCCATTTTATTCCGAACTAAATAATTTGCTTTTAAGGAAAATTAATCAATAGCTAAAGCTTCTCTAATCTACAGTTATTCTACAAGGATATACAAGTTTTTATCAGGGGAAAAAAACAAGAGAAAGGAGAAGACTCCTCACTGACACCAAACTTTATGTAAGTGTAACAACAAGAAGTAGCCCTTAACCCAAACCAGTTGTGTTAGCCTATATGGATTCCTTTATCCACCAAAGAAAAAGTTGGAAGAAAAAGGAATTTTTTTTTGTTGATAAATTGGCTAAACACACTTGTATATAAGAAGTATCAAAAAGTGGAAAACCTTGCAAAAATATTATGTTTCTACGAACGACACAATCTTTATACAAATAGGAACCTCGTGGATGCACTGATAAAAAAAAGGAAGAGATAAGAGGCTATTCCTCAAGTGTACAGAATCCTCCTCTATTCCATCAAAGAGCACTCTCCTATTTCTCTCTCTCTCTCCATACGGTCCACATAAGTGTTAGAGGAGCAACATCCCATCCTCCACATCTTCTCTTCCGTCTTCTAAAGAACCAGCTAAATATTGCTTCTTTAACAGTGTTTGGCATCACCCGCTGGAGTCCAAACCAAAAAAAAAAAAAAAGAGGAGGAAAATTTACAGACAGCAAAATACTTTATTTCCGCTGTCTGTTTTTGCTTAAATGTTTATGTGGTGTCACTTAACCTTTCAAAAAATATATATATTTACGTGCTGCCACTAAAATTTCTTCTAATGGTTACTCCTGCCCGGCGAGCCTTGTTGAAGTCTAGGTAATAGGATTCGAAATCATCCCTGGAACTCAATATCTTTTTCTTGCATTCTGGAAAGGCAGGGTAATAGTTTTGATCTCCGCACTTTAGGTCCACATTTTCCTTTTAACTTTAGCTTTCTCCTCTTTCGAGGGTTATCACATTTTGGTTGGTGAATTATTTGAGAATAGAAGTGTGTTTTAATTGAAAAATTAAGTTATGGTATCCTTTAGGGTGGAAAGCCAGATTCTTTGGCTGCCAGAGAAGGTTTCAAGCTTTTTAAGTGTTTCTTGCATGAAAGTTACTCGCTAGCCTCTTTCAGCAAAGCTAGCTGATTTTAAGGTACTTCATAGAAGATCATGACCTGCATATGTGTTACAGCTGCTGATCAATTTGGAATTCTTGCTTTTCACCTGTTTTCTAGGGATTGTATTGCCTGTTGGGCCTATTCTCCCCGAAACCTCTTTTTTGCAGGG